GATATATATCAAATAGAACTGCCCGGTAAACCGTAGGCAGAGAGGGAGAAGAGGACAACAAACGAGGGGCTGTGACAAACTGTTTCGTATATATTGTCAAACAGAGCTGCCCCCAGGAAACCGTAGGCGGAGAGGGAGAAGACGACAACAAACGAGGGGCTGCGACAAACTGTTTCGTCGGAGTTTCACCGACTTGTCAGGAGGCTGAAATAATTAAATTTAATACAACCGGGACACACCCGGTGCACATGTGGATGGAAAGTAGACGTGGGCCTGGTATCGCTCTGCTGGAATCCAGCTCAGGGGGACAGGAAAAAAAAAAAAAAGACCGGAAAAACATTAACTCACTAAGGATAAGAAAAAACAAAACAAAAGAAAAGAGAGAGACAAGCGAAAAACAGCGCAGCAGCGCCCCCAACTTGAGGGTAAATGGAATGGCACCTGTTGAGACAAAAGACAAAGGAAAAAGACCCCTAAGGGCCCCTAACAGTATTATATTCATCCAACATAACTTGAACTCCTGACCTGTTTATTAAGTAATATTAACGAGTACATGTTAGGCCTGGTATCGCCCCACTGTATATTAAGTAATATTAAATAATATTAACACTTACATGTGCACAGAGTTGTGCAGGCGGGCCAGTCTAAGTCATTGAATGTAAACAACTATGGTCCCTCAGCAATACAGCTTGCTGAGGTTGGGGAAATAACAAGAGAACACAGCGGCACCGGGCACACACAAAAGCAAGAAAACAGAACAGTGCAAAAAAAAACAACAGCACGCTGGGACCAAGCGGTTTGCTGGGTTTTGGCCCTTGGGGGACAGCGTCACGTGTGATTCACTTTTCCCTTTAAGAAGGTTATATTATAGGATAGATAGAAAAGGAAAGGAAAACAGTGAAAAAGTGACCTGTGAATATATAAAAAAGAGAGAAAGAAAAAGAAAAGAAAAAAAGGAAAACGAAGAGAGAGCCATGAGGAGGTCACATACATACATACCGTGCAGATATGTGGTGTCCCTAAAGTTAGCAGAACTTTTATCCGCCGGGCCAGCCCATAGGTTTTCCCATCGTACGGTGCTCGTGAACCCATCTAATTAAACATTAAGAATACAAAAATGACACATGAAGGACAGCCATGGCTGGTTGAGATCTTAGGCACGATCTTCAGCATCCGCAACAAGCATTCACAACAGCAGTCCGGGCTTCAAAACTCTTACTTTCAGAAGAAATACAATATTTTTTATGTCTTTTTCTTTTTAATACTAAAAAATCACACACCTGGTGAAACAACAACAACAAGACGAAGGGCACACTGAAACCATTCATATTTCTCATTCTTCTTTTGACTCCCGCTTCACCGTGCCTCTGATGTACAAGCCTCGCCACGTTGATGAAGTTTGAGCATGAGCTGCCTGCATCCCGATCCGCCCGCCATAACAGCCCGCTTGTACGGTGTGAGAAAGCGGCAGAGTAAAGGGGGAGGGGAGGGGGAGTGTATGGGGAGGGGATAAAGTCGGATAAACAAAATACACACCAAACATATCCCATACTTCTCGCTCCCACCAACCAGCTCCCGGAAATATTTTCGATACGGATGGGAGTTATTTCATCTACACGTATATGTACGCGAAGACGTGAGTTATATACCGAATGCTCAGTAAGCTATACACCACTTCAAATCCGTCTCTTTTCAATACAGGGCCGAGAGATGGAGAGAAGACAAACAAAGAACAACAAAGAACAAGAAAGGGAAAGTAAGGGAAAGCAAGGGAAAGTACAGAGTGTGGAATGAAGATGAAGGCAAAGGAGAGGATAAGAAAAGGTTCAAGAATGAGTCTTTCCTGTCTGTACGACAGAGAGGACAGAAATTGTAAGGACACTAATGGTTAGCGCTTTTGAGTTTTTTTTTTCGGTTTTCTAACTTTTTTTTGCCTGTTTCTTTTTTTTTTTATGTTTGTAATACTTTGTATTATGAGCCTGCATTGTTTATTTGCAAAATTTTCGACGACATTGCTTGTGGTGATGCGGCGCAATAACCCCGAATTTTGGGTCTTCCATTAACCATCTCTCCCGGTTGACTCTACAGCGGTAGCGATTGTGATTGTACAGTGTATACCTTTCCTGGCTTTTTGGCTAAGATCAAGTCTGGAGTCTCTTGGCCTTTCTTTGATCCTCTTTTCGCCGAATCGGACGGCCCCAGGTATTGCAGAATTATTTGATTTCATTCATCTAGTTCCGTGTGGATTCGAACTGTCCTTCAGCAGTTCATGGGTGTGCGAGCTGAGCTAGGCCGATTGGTACCCTTCTTTTATCAGTTGTGTATATGATCTCAGGTTCAGCAATATAAAATTACAAATCCAAAAAATAAAATAAAAAATGATAAAATACTTAAATAAATAATTATAAAAATTAATAGTATTTTTAGTATTTTAAATTTTAATATATCTACTAGAATAGCAGGGGAAAAAAAAAAGAGCAAAGCTATAGGCAAGCTCATTCTAGTAGCAGTTGAGGTCAGCGGAGAGTAAGTTGGTGCCTTAGCTGACTCTCCTTCTAGGCAAGCTGACTCTCCTTGTAGGCAAGCTGACTCTCCTTCAAAGCTGTAGGCAAGCTCATTCTAGTAGCAGTTGAGAATCAATCCCAAGTTGCAGAGTGGGTGGTGTGTGGAGAAGCTGCATCTTAGTGAGAAGATGCAGGACAGGAGCTAGGTGACTATGCCAAGGATGTAGTTTGCACTTTCTCATGCCGTTAACGTCTCTCCTTCACAAGAGTAGGTCTGTAGTGTCTACACTGGCTAACAACACAGCAATCATTGTCGGGCACTACGGTCAAGGACGTAGTTTGCACTTTCTCATGTGAGGGAGAGAAGTTACGCTTCCCCGCCATTTTTTCAGAGATGTGGCGTGCATGCTGTCGCATCGAGCGGGACGTAACGGGGCACCGTTTCGTGGCACATTCATCCAGGCAAGACGGGTCGCATGCGAGGCCCGTTCTGCCTGGATGGATGTCCAGCTAAATGGCGCCCCGGTACTTCCTGCCCGACGCGGCAGCACTCACGATATGTCTCTGAAAAAAATGGCTGGGTAACTTACTGGCGGTTTCAGGCACACAAAATGTGTTTTCACGTTAGCAATGATCTGCTTTTCGATATGATACTAGGCACGTTCTGCCTTTAGCAACGCTGGTGATCATTTGCAATGAGAAGTACAAGACTCCTGCCGAACGATGGTTGATGTCGAAGAGCTATCGACCTCATCGCCTCAATCAATCCATTTCATGGATGCCTGTCTGTGAGTTCATTTTCCAATCACTGGAAGTAGAACCAGAAGGCAGGTGCATACCCATGCGACATTGACGGGCCTCGCAGATGTGGATTGACCCTACCATAGGCGTCTCAATGCCATCACAAGTCATACTGCTGGGCCCATACCGTGCACCTATGACATCATCTATAAGCTGCTGTGCGATCCAAGTACTCTACGCCGTCTACGGATAAGTTCTACTTCAAGTATGTCTATCATCAGATAGCAGTAAGACCCAAGGATCCTGAACATAACAGCATTTCAGACCCGGTACGAACTGTACAAGCTTGTGGTCATGCCTTTGGGCTCTGTGATGCGACTGCACCCATAACGTTCAAGCATGCCATGTATCTAAAGGGCATTTCATGACAAACTGGACAAACTGAACAAAACTGCATTTCAGACACGAGCGTTTCATGAATACGTGCACAAGTGTTTAGTTGTCTACTTAATAGATGGCATATATGTTGTCGGTAGGAGTCTCAATGAGCATGTTGAGCATTTGAGGAGTGTGTGTAGGCTTCTCAGAGAGTGCCGGTCCAAGTGAATTTGGTTGCACAAAGATCGTGTATTGGGGCCATGAACTATCTATCAGAAGATGAACTGAGGCCAGAAGATGCAAGAGTTGCATCCAATCAATGCTGGCAGGTTTTTTAGACAACTTCCTTGATATCTCCTTGATCGTGCTGTATTCCTTCTATATATGGGCCGCTGGACCCGTTTTCCAGCAGGTGATGCTCCCCACTAATAGAAGGAGCCTCTCCTCGGGTGCTAATGGTGTCTGCTTCTATCAGCACCACTAGCACTGCAGGGGGTGTGTTTAAAAAAAAAAAAAAAAAAAAAAGCCGAGACCTCAGAATGTAACTTAGGAGGTGTACAATCCATCTTGGGATGGGCAGGATCCTACAAAAGTTTTTTTTTTTTCCCTAAAAAAAAAAAGGACCATTTCTCGATTCATGCGTGTCATCATTGCGCAGGGGCCATGCTGATCTTCTATGTATCGTGTTCCAATTTTACCGGATGTCCTGGAGGACACTACAAAAGGTTTGTAATAAAAATAAAAGTTAATAATAATAATTAAAAAAAGGAAAAAAAGAAAGAAAAGTGAGCCCCTTAACCGACTCGACTAGACTTGACACCCTTGCGAATGGAGTAAGAAGTGTGGGCAAGCATTCAAATGCGAGGATTTGGCTCCTCGGCAGGCCTAAGGGGCACATTTTGCATCTGCGCCGGCCCTAAGTGAAGACGGGCCTGATAAAATTATGAGAGGCCCATTGTTGTCTATTTCGCATATGAGGTTCAGACAGTTGCATCACGTCAGTTGGTTTAGAGAACCCTGGCCACGGGCAGCAACACTTTGTTTCGGCCTTCTAGGCCTTTCTTGGAAGCAGGGCCTGGGCCGCATCTTCAGCAGTATGCACGACAGGCAGTTGGGAGGCATAACCAAACGGGGCCCAGGGCAGTAGCAGCCGAGGCCCAGCTACGCAGGGCCTACCGGCAGCTTCTGGGCACAGGCCCAGCCCAGACAGTCAGCACACCAGGCCAGACACTTTCCATATAGGAAAGTGCCCGCTGCCTGGCCAAGCATTTGGGCACTTGCCAGTTGTGCGGCAGCGCTGCTTGAGCCTGCGCTCGCGTGCTGTGGGCTGCGCTAAGGCAAGGTGCTTGTGCACGTGCGGTCGTGTGTGCAGGGTGCTGCTGAGGGCAGCGCCATAGCTCGGCCTCCATAGCCAGCCGATCTTGGGTGTACCACAAGGCGTACTGGTGGTCTTCGTCCATGGGGAAGAAGACGTGGGTGAGAGACAAGAGAGAGAGAGAGAGAGAGAGAGAGAGAGAGCGAGAGAGAGAGAGAGAGAGAGAGAGAGAGAGAGAGAGAGAGAGAGAGAGAGAGAGATGAGGATGATGACGTAAAGGCACATACCTGGTCTTGGCAATAGTCTGCAAGGGTTTGACATCTTCATGTACTTCAGTGCTGCTGCTGACGTCAACAGTTGCATTGTCAATTCGTAGGCCGGAAGTAGCTGTGTGGTAGTAGTCTGGGCGCTGAGCACCAAGTAGGGGAAGGGCCCTGGATACTCATGTTGGTGATGGCGAGAGTAAGTTCTCATTGACATTCGGATTCAGTATTTTGATTCTCCATCGGTGTAATATTGGTGCAATTCTGCTTTCTGGACAGTGTGGACCTTCCTGGCTTTCAATGTGATTTTGCAATCTGGAATCTGTCATTTCGTTACTGCTCATTTTCCTTGCAATTTGGTACCGGAGCTGGTTCAAACTACACTTGCTGGTTCTTCGCAATAGCTGTTCTGTGCTTCGTTTGTGATGGTGAGGCCGTGATGACGCTTGTGCGTTGAATGTGAGGCGGCCCAGGGCCGTGTGGGCGCACCAGGAAGGCTATGCGGTGACATTGGGGTGTACGCTGGATGATGAGAACTCACTGATGCGGCATTTAAGCCGAGGTGGAACTGCATAATCGCTGTTTGTTGTGCCAAGGCAAAGACCGGTCATCATAAATGCACGTCAGGTTGCTGGTGAGAAATTTGTGGTTGGGGGCAGCATTATGAGGTACCTTGCTCTCATCCTTATCTACCCTCTTAATTGCTTCTTACCGTGAGAAGTGAGTTCTGTCTTGAGAGTCCTCTCAATGTGAGGTGTCGCTAGCGCTCAACCTTGAGAGTCGACATTCTTCCTGGGCAGCAAGCTGGTGGGAGACGGGCGAAGCCTCTGAAGGGCCCTGGACGAAGCACTCGGGTCACGGTCACCATGCCAACCCGCTGGGACTAGTACA